TTTAGTTATGTACACCTCAAGGATGTCAACAGCCTGAGACTTTTCATGAATTAGATACACATATCCATAACGTGAGAAGTCATCTATAAATGTGATAAAATATTTTTCACCACTAAGACATGGGATGTTAAGTGGCCCGCAAATATCTTTATAAATTATCTCAAGAAGCTCATTACTTCTTGTGACACCTTTCTTGGTGTGTTTGGTTTGCTTTCCTTTAAATGCAATCCACACATATCTGAAAATCAGTGAAGTCTAGGTTTTCCAAAATCCCATTCTTCACCAATTTTTCAATTCTATTTCTGGAGATATGCCCCAACCGTCTATGCCACAAGATTGAGGATTTTTCATTAATTAGACCACATTTTAAACCAATATTCGAATGCAGAGTTACTAATGATTGTGCAAACTCATGATTTAAGGTAATTTTATATAAACCATCACATAAATTACCAGAACCAATCACTTTTTATTTAAACATTAAATTGAGTTTTCCACAATTAAATAAAACTGAATATCCAACACGATCCAATTTGGATAACGAAACTAAATTCCTAGAAATTGAAGGAACATAAAAAGTGTCTTCTAGATCCATCAGATGACCCGTCTCTAAGATCAGTCGATAGGTTCCTACAGCTACAACTTCAGCTTTGAGACAATTCTCCATATAGACAAATCTTTCACTTTCCTTCGATTTCCTGGTTGAGAGGTATCCCTGCATGTCATTTGTAATGTGGGTCGTGGCCCCAGAGTCAATCCACCACGTATTAGAAGGTACTTCAGCAAGATTTGATTCATAACTGTAGACACTCCATTTTTTACTACCTTTAAGACTTGGACGTGACTGATGGTTTACTTGGTGGAGAAAGGTGTGCAGAGGAAATGTGCAATTTCTTCGGCAAAGAGAGAGTCAAATCTCAACTTCATACCCCTGTTCTGGACCAAAACAATCTGATCAAAAGCTTTAGTCTTAAAACCCTCTCTCTCAAAAACGTTTTTGAAATAAAGTTCGTACGATGTTCTGACACTCACATTTTGTTAAATGTTGCGCTTTTCAGTAAACCGAACAAGGGCAAAGTGGAAAAGAATGAAAGAGAGATGAAATCTTTGAAAAAATCTTTCAAAATACCTTACTTAGGGGTTTGAAGTTGAAGAAAAGAGGAGAAGAGCGAAGAAATCCAGTTGGGGGAGAAAATGGGCATGAACCGTTAAGAAAGAGTCGAACAGCCCTCGCCGAATTAGGCCTATTCATTGGCATACTTGGAATCAAGCTATGAGGCCACCACCGTTGGAAATAATACTTCCGGGGCTTCATTTTTCACTCAAGAATCTCCGAAATCCAATTCCGGACGGGGAAGATATAGTTGATTGAAGTAGGGCATCACTCCGGTTGGACCGAAATCTGCGCGGCTTCAC